TAACAATTTACCACTCATCATATTTATATTTAAAAATTAAAAATTAAAAATCAAAGAAGCATTGCTTTCTTGAGTGAATTATAAATTAACTCCTCTAATTTTGAGAAATAAATTAATTAGTTTCTCTAATTTCAAAAGTTAATTATTTAATCATTTGTCTATAGTTGATCATACTTTATTTAAAATCTTATCATAATATCTATTTTTAAAAAAAATTTCTATCTGTTAAAAAAAATAAATTAGAAAAAATATAAAATGGATAAAAAAGATTAAATAATTAGTTTTTTTAAAAAAGGATTAATTGGTTAGTTTTTCAAAATTAAAGAGACTAATTTATAATTTTATTCTTACTTTCTGTCTCATAGGTACAACACCATAGCAGCAAGTGGGAACAGAGTGAATCAAAGTCGCGCCGCATAGAATCATGCACCCCACAGCATGTTAATTAAATTTTTGTCCTTATTTTTTCTTTTTTTCTATTATTAGCCGTAGACCTTTAAGAATCAATGGCTGGTTTTGTTTGTGGGGAAATGTAGAGATGTAAATGGATGACGTCCTGATAAAGGAATTTACTTTTCCAAGAACCTTGCACGGCTAGCAGTTTACCCTCACGTTGACACACTGTTTGAAAGTTGAACTTTTTTTTCTTTTTCCAGGAAAAAATAGTTGAAAGAAAACATTCATATATACACGTGAAAGATGTAAATGGATGACGTCCTGGTTTTGTTAAATGTTTCTTTTGCACTTAATACATAAAAAATAAATCTTTTTAGTTAAATAAAGAATTCTCTAACTATCAAATTAGTAGTTGAAACGTTGCGATTTGGCTTGAAAAGGATTTTTTAGAAAAAAGTATTTGATTATTTGTAAATAATTTACTTGTAAAAGATACATGACTTGTTTTTTGACAATGAACATTATTGGTGGCAAAGAATTAGAGTGACATAGACAAATGCAGTCTATTCCTCATTCATCTTTCTTTCTTCTGTGCAAGCTACATAAAAGCAGGATAGAAATGTTTGAGTATAATATACATAAGTCTTATCGTATATTGTCAATGCTCAATCTTGATAATGTTATGATTTTTAACATTTAATGATATCATTTAGGTGCATTGATATTTATCTCACATCTATTGATCAATCATCAAGGTAGTACATATCATATGAACTTCTAATTCTATCAAATTATAAATAATATGAATTAATAAAAAGACTTCTTTATTAATATAAAATGCAATAATAAAATATTTCAAATCATCTAAACATGTTAGATCTTGAGCTCTTACACTAACATTACCTGGAGCATTTGATTAAAGAAAATGGTTGGAATGAATGGTTAGTAGTAAGGGGGTTTATCTTTGTTTCAATATCGTCTCCCCTCAACTTCAAATATCTAGCAATTCTTTGTTTGAAACCTAGGAGTTACATGTTGTGAACCAAGGAATTTCTTCAATGAAGCCTTAGGAATTCCTCTATAAAACCTAGAAACAGAACCTCCTAGTTTTCTCTATTAAAGCCCGAAACCTTTTTCTCTTGGAACTTAGAAAAAATCTCCTTTGTAAACCCAAAAATATTCCTCCTTGCAAGCCCAAATTCTCTCTATGAAAACCCAGAAATATTCTTTCTTTTGAAACCAAAAAACCCAGAAACTCCTCATATGCAAAAGCCTAGAAATTTCCCAATTTTAAACACAAAACTGTTTTTTCTTTGAAAACCCAAAATCCCCTCTCCAAAAGCTTTTTTCTCCTCCTCAAACCAAAGATTCGCCCCTTATTTATACCTAAAACCTAACTCTCCTCAACCCTAGGATTATCTCCCCATTAATCCTAAGCCCTCCCACTAGAATTTAAACCCCAGGTTCCTGTGATTTTTGGCTATTCATGCAAAGAGCCAAAAATCATAAAAAATGCAATTGCTGTGTGTGTTGTGCAGATGGTGTGTGTGGCATGATTCTTGGATGGTACAAATGTTAACTAATAGTGAATTTTGTCCCTTTAGGCTGTTGTCTTCATTAAAGACTATGCATAATACCAAAGAGTGAAGGAAAGAATGAAACTAGAATGTTGAAAAAGTTTAGACGACAGGTCATTCAGATGATCCCAAATTGGTCCCGTAGTCTACATTTTGTGTTAATTTAGATCCCTATAGGTTTAATTTTTTTTCAATTATACCATCGGGGCATGTCATTGTAGTCCTTATACTTTTAATTTTTCTCAATTGGGTATGTTTCAATTGTATTTCAATTCTGTTTTTATTCAATCATGCCCATAATATAATAATTATTTTTTTTGTATTTTGTATCTTCTTCTTCTTCTTTTTTGTATTTTTGATTCTTTTTCTCTTTTTTTTGTAATAAATAATAAAATAAAATAAAATAGATGAAAATAAAAATAAGATAAAATAAAAATAAAACCTAAAAAGAATAAAATTGGAGGAAAATATATAACCCAAAATTTGGGTTATGACAAATTCAACAATAAAATATTATGTAAGAAAATGATTGTATGAAAGAAAGAAATCGTAACTAGTTGAGGTATTGTCATTTGCAACATTATTAAAATTACATCAATTGATTTTGAATCCAATAATTAAGATTTAATATAAGTTAGTAGACAAGCAGTTTCGAATTTAAGCCGTAAATATCATACATTATTTCTAAACATAAATTATGACTAAATATAAGTTAGCACTCTCTCTAATTTTAAAAATTAATTATTAATTCTATAATCAACATTGATTATGTTTAATTTAATATTAATTTATTCAAAAAATATTTTTTTATCCTCATCAATCTTTTCATATATATATATATATATATATATTAAAAAAAAACTAGAAAAGACCATATCTTTTCTAAAATAAAACAAAATGTATGTCTTTGTTAATCCAAAACATACCTATTCTAATATCAAAAAATCATCTCAATCTAAAAGTTTAAACTATTATATGAAGCCTATGATATAATTTATATTATTTTCTAACATTTAGTATGATTATTTTCACATAGTGGAGATTAATTGTGATATTGAAGGGATGCATGGAACGCCATTGCTTGTATAGAAAAAAAAATCATGGAATGGCTACATTATTAATTCTTAAAACATTATCTATAATATTTCTTAAACTGAATAATATATTTTAATAATTTTTTTTACACTTCATTTCAAGTGAATTAAACCACCCATGCATAACACTAATTACTTATAATTTATTCTTTTTTATATTCTAAAATTAATATTTTTAAATAAAATAATTGAAATATATATCATTGGTCTATTTCAATTGTATTCTTAATTGTTTCAATTTCAATTATGTTTTTATTCAATCATACCCCTAATTTAATTAATTATTTTTTTGTATTTTGTATCTCTTTCTTTCTTCTTTTTTTTTTTTTTTTGTCTTTTTTATTCCTTTTCTCTCTTTTTTTTTTTGTAATAAATACTAAAATTAAATAACTAAATAAAATAAAATAGATGAAAATAAAAAAAGGTAAAATAAAAATAAACTCTAAAAAGAATAAAATTGGAGGAAAATATATAAACCAAAATTTGAATTATGACAAATTCAACAATAAAAAAATATGTAAGAAAATGATTGTATGAAAGAAAGAAATCTTAAGTAGTTGATGTATTGTCATTGCAATATTATTAAAATTACATCAATTCATTTTGAATTCAATAATTAAGATTTAATATAAGTTTGTAGACAAGCAGATTCGAATTCAAGCTGCAAATATCAAACATCATTTCTACACATAAATTATGAGTAAATATAAGTTAGTAGTCTCTCTAATTTTAAAATTAATTATTAATTCTATAATCAGCATTGATTAAAAATTAATTTAATATTAATTTATTCACAAAATATTTTTTATTCTCATCGATCTTTTCATAATATATATATATATATATATAAAAACTATAAAAGAACATATCGTTTCTAAAATAAAACAAAATGTATGCTTGTTAATCCAAAATAGACCTATTCTAAAAATTTAAGATGTTAGATGAAGCCTATGATATGATTTATATTATTTTATAATATATAGTATGATTATTTTCACATAGTGGAGATTGATTGCGATATTGAAGGGATACATGAACCCCATTGCTTGTATAGAAAAAATAAATCGCGGAATGGCTACATTGTTAATTCTTAAAACATTATCTATAATATTTCTTAAACTAAATAATTTTTTAAAAAATTTTTTTTACACTTCATTTCAAGTGAATTAAACCATCCATATTTTAGAATCTGACAACTAATGCCTTTGGAGATTGTTCAAGATGCCTTAAGAATAAAGTTTAGGTTACCTTTATGAATTACCTCTATCATGGACTTAACTGGACGAATTTTGAGATCACCGAAATTTTTTTTTTTCCACAATCCATCACATGATCCACAATTGAGACATTCGAATCATTGAATGCAAAATTATTTTTTTCAAGTATCTCAATCCCACATTAAAGATACAATAATCATATTAAAAAAGATAACGATAAGATTTAATTTTTTTTAATAATTATGATTTCAGGATTCGAACTCTACACATCAACAAAAAAATTCATTTGAAAACTAATCATTTGCTACTAAATCAATAACTTTCAATATAAAAAAAAAAAAAAAAAAGTTTTTTTCTTAATTTGACAAAAAAAAAAAAAAGAGCTCCATCAAATCATGCAAACTAATCCGAACCATCTAAATTAAAAGAATAACCTACTTATCTTATTCGGTGCTTTCCAAAAAAAAAAAATTATCAATGGAATGTGAAATTTTTTTAAAAAAATAATACGTTAATGTACAAACTGACTCGAGGACATTCTAAAGGTTTACCACAACATGCCCTACAGTAAATTCTTGAATCTCAGCCACAGCTCACCACATTGTCTATATAAAGCCTCACGACTCCTGCATGGTTGAGGAAACAATACCCAGTACTCTGTATCTTAATTGCATCATCATTTGTGTTTTCTCTCTTCCTTTCCCTCACCTCAATCCATGGAAATTATTGAAAATTTTGAAGAGTACCAAAATTACTGGGAGACCAACAAGTTTTGGAATGAAGAGCTTAATTACAGGTAACCCTTCTCATAAATTTGCTTTTGATGACCAAACTTCTATTTTATGATATAATTAATTTCTGCTGTTTATTCACATCCAAAGTTTTTCACTTAAGAAAGTAGTTTAATTTTGAGACAGCTGGGCAACGGAGGATCTACAATTTAATCTGGTGTACCACGATTCAAGCTTGCCGGATGGAACTGCTTCAGGTACAACAGCCCCTAAAAATGTTGTTTCGGAGAGGAACAGGAGGAAGACGCTTAATGACAAGCTCTTAGCACTTAGAGAAGCAGTCCCCAAAATCAGCAAAGTAACCACACTAATTAATACATGTCATATATACAAATTTTATTAATTAATCATGCTAATCTTTATCATTTTGTTTGTTGGGTTTCAATTAATTTTCATTTTTTGGGTTGACCAAAATTAGTTGGATAAGGCTTCCATAGTCAAAGATGCTATTGAGTGCATCCAAGATTTGCAAGAACAAGAGAGGAGACTCCAAGCTGAGATAATGGAACTTGAATCCAAGAGATTGAAGAACAATCCTGATTTTGACCAAGAGCTGCCAGTCTTGTCAAGATCAAAGAAAACAAAACATGACCAAACTTATGATCATAGGTTGGCCAGAAGTTGTCCTGTTGAAGTTCACGAAGTAGGTTACTCTCTGCTCTTGGCGTGCCTGAGGCTCTCAATTCTTACATTATGTTGCTTATGGTATATATGCCTGGTGATGTTTTTTTCAGCTAAATTTTACATCCATGGGAGAGAAGATTCTGTTCGTTAGCTTGACATGTAATAAAACAACAAACACAATGCTTAAGCTTTTTGAAGTTTTTGAATCTTTGAATCTGAAAATTGTCACGGCAAATGTCACAGCTCTCTCAGATATGGTCAAGAAGACAGTCTTGATAGAGGTCAGCCTGTTTTCTTCCTCCTCATGAATCCTCTCCATCATTTCAATTTTGATAGAATTTGTTCCATAAAAGATTTCAACTTTAACTCTCGAAACTTGTGTCTTGCAGGTAGATGAAGAAGAGAAAGAGTCAGTGAAGAAAAAAATTGAAAGGGCTGTTTTAGCTGTTAGATCCACATCTAGTCCTATGTAACTAATGGGAAATCCCTGTCTACAATTTTTCTGTGGCCATCGTACCTTTGGAAATCGAATCCAAATAATTAGTCCAATGAGGTGGAAGTCCAAGGAAAAAAAAAAAAACTTTGTACAGCCGGTTGGCAATCGTAATTGAGACTGTGCAATTACTGTTTATTATTGCTCTATTAAGTATATATATTAGTCAGCTTTTATGAACCAAGATTGAGTTTATTTTTATTATCTGATTAAAAAAAAAAAGCAATCGAAATAAGGAGATTCCTGAAAATTTTACTTTTCATAAATTGATTTAACGGGTACTGAATGATGGTAACTAATGAAATAACATATTTTCTTGACCATCAGACCAACCTACATAGGTTAGTAATGTTTGTAATGTTTCTGTTCTCCCATATGTGTACAAAAAGATACTTTTGTCCAATCAAAGCACATTTTCTTTCGAAAACCAGAGGTATTCAAATTGTTTAGTAAAAGCAAACGTTATTACGATAGAAAAAATCAATTTTTTTAGTGAAAGAAAACATTAGAAAAGTTTCCGTCTTTTTTTGTTTAGTCAAGAAAGTTCTTTCAGGTTTCCATGCTCAAACAACAACGTAAATAGGACCACACCGTCCACGACCAACTGTGGAAAAATAAATGATGTTGTGGGTTACGTTCCTTCTCTCATTTATTGGTCAAACCGATTGTACGTTTGCTCCTTTCTTTCAACGCTGTAAGAATTATTTTTGCATTTTTAAAAGTGTTTACTATGTTACAAGTATTCTTAACTTAACGGTTTTGTATCTAAATAATTTCATTAGTAAAATAAATAAGACTTGACCCTTAATAACTCTTAATTTTTTTATAATTATATAATAAAAGAGTACATCCTTCATTGTGTAGCTCAAATTCTATAAACGTCTCGATGAATAAAAAAAGAAAAAGAAAAAAGAAAGTGCTTGCTGTAATGGTGGTAATTAGTCATGAGAACGTGCATGGTGGACATTGAAGAACTCTTAATTTCATTATTAAATTTTTTTTAAGGAAGAGGGCTTAATAAGAATCGTTAGCCATCCATACAGGTACTCGCTGTACAGTGAAGTAAATTCTCTCGGACAAGAGACCCACCAACGTACGAGAGAGAACGTCCTACGTTTGACATGAGCCAAGTGAAGAAGCATCACTTTCTTTCCAACACTGTAGTCTTTGGGCCACATGTTTCCATAGAAATACAACACCACGCGGATAAGAGTGAGTGAATCCAACAAGTTACAAGGCTAGTCAATGACATAAATTTTCTTTTCGAAGAAGAAAATGAAAGTGAATTTCATAAATCATGTCAGCACTACATCATTATACTCTAGATAAAGGCTGTTCATAACATCACAACAAAAACAAAAACAACACAAAGCGGGGTGAATATCCGATTTTTATTATATTTATTGTATGGGTAAAAAAAAAAAAAAAATATATATATATATATATATATATATATATAAATAAAGAGAGAGAGGGAGAGAAAGAGAGGGGGGTCCCTCCATATCCAACTCTTATAATCAAAATAAAACTAATTATATTTATAGCAAGAATTATAATATTTAATTTCTATAATAAATATAATTTTAAAATTAAAATTTTACATATTAATAAAAAATTTATTTAGAAATGAGGTTGTTTATCGGTAGATTAATAATTTATTATTCTAATAAATAAATTCTTTACAAAGAATTGGTGATCCTGTGGTTCTTTCCCTTGTGAGAATATTTGAAGACACGGATTTTGATAAATTAAAGATTCTATCTTGTGTTAGAACACGTGAAGACTTGACGTGTTCTTGCAAAATGCGATTTGAAGATTTGGAGACAGAGAAGACTTGCAGGCTTGAGAGCTTTCCTTGTAGAGCTTCGATGTAACTTGTCTTCTTTTTTAGCTGCTTTATTTTTTAGGGTAGAGCTTTCTATTTATGGATGGAGGCTTGGAGAGTTAGATTTGGAATGTTTGGTCATTAAAAAAAGGCGTAGGTGATTCCAAAAATAATAGTATATGGCAATAAAATTTTGATTTGAAAAAGATTTATTTTCAACCTCTTTTTAATGGCATTTTAATTAAGTTCTGATAAATAATAATAAAAGGAAACTTCTGATAAAAAAATTAGAATATCCTAATTAAGAAAAAAACTAAAATAACTGAAATGTTTTCTATCTGAATACTGTTTTTTTTTTAAAAAAAATTATTGTTGCTCTAGACCCAAACTATCTATTAATTGTGACTCTAGTGCACTATTTGGACATTTTCTTTAATCTGGCTTGTCCATCGGTGATGTGCCTTTCTCACAGTCGCCCAATTGTCTCCCTGCACATGGATGGTTGCTTGATTTTCGCCCTCTAACTTTTTGTTAATTTTTCTTTCGTCACTTAGTGGATTTGGGAAATTTCATGCTTATCTTTGATTGACTCTCTTTTAAAATTTCTTCTTGAGCTTTTTTTTTTTTTTATTAAAGTATCATTTCACTCAAATATTTAAGTTGTTAGGTAAGATCCTAAGATATGATTTATATTATTTTCTAATACACTCCTTTTGAGCTTAAAACTTACACGAGCTCACGTTATCTTATGCTTAATTAATTAGAAGAGAAAAACAGAGGTACTAGGATTCGAACTCGTAATTGTTTGATCATCAAGGCTTTGATATCATATTAAAGGATCATCTCACATAAAAGCTTAAGCTCGTTAGGTAAGTTTTCAAGATATAATTTATATTATTCTCTAACATTTCTATCATTCTATTTTTTTTTTAAGACAGATTATTTAATGCTCCGATCTTGGATTGTTTTTTTTTTTTATCCTTCTTGTTTTTTCACAAAGGAGCCATTGCTTTTCAAGAGTAAATTATAAATTAGTCCCTTTGGTTCAAAAACATTTTTTTGTCCTTTTTGTTATTTTTTAATTTATTTTGATTTTTCATTTTAAGAAATAAAAAATAAATAAAAATTTGAAAAAAAAGAATCTTATAAAATAAAAATATTAAATTAATCATAGTTAATACTCGATTAACATGATTAAATAATTAGTTTTTGAAACCAAAACTCGCTAATTAATTCATCTCTCAAAACGAGATGGACTAATTTATAATTTACTTTACAATTCAAGGATCTCTTTTATTATTTATTTTTTTTATGGGTATTTTTTTCATCATAAATATTATACTAGTTGCTTTATATCAAAAGAGTGCATTAAAAAATATATATTAGATATAAAAAACTAGATGTATCCTATACATGACCTCAAAGATAGCAAGAATAGGTCATCCCTATAAATAATAATCAATTTCAAAAGTTACTACATAAAATTAAAACAGCCAGTGCAGTTAAAGATCCATGCAAAGTGATTTTTTTAATATAATATAGTGGTTACATTTTACTATCCAAAATTGTAAAATGGAGAAACTTTTATGCTCTTCTTTTGAAAAATTGCTTATTTGATAGCTGGATTTGCTTTTGAAAATATTTTTTTCCTGCGTAGGTTAAATCTATATACAATTAATTTTGTGTGCTTTCTTTTATTTGCACTGTGTGCAATTCACTTGACCAAATGTTTGATCAATAAAAATATAATAAAATTATTGTTATATTATTTATAAATAATTAAATATCAAAATTAATTTTATAATTTTTTTAATTACAAATTGATAGTATAATACAAAAAAATTAATAATTACTTTTTTTTTAAATAAATATTTTGAAACCAATTCTCTTGAAATAAAATAATAAAAATTATATTTAAAAAACAACACCCGACCATACCATATTTTTTAAATAGAGTTTTTTTGTGCTTATATTATTTATTATTTTGAGGATATATATATATGACCTAATATACATACTTTTAAAAATTAATCTTCTCATCAATATCATAAAAAATTATTTTATATCTTAAAATTTTTATGCAATTTCTTAAAAAATAATTGTTGCTTTATTTGCTCGATACAATTTTATAAAATCAATAATTAAATTTATGCATTTTTTTAGGATTTCTGATAGACTGAAACTTGCATTTGAGGCTATTGTAATTTTTTATTTAAAAATCCATGCATGACAAAAAAAAAAAAAACAAATCATTTTATTTTAAGAAGGAAATATTTTTTTAAAAAAAATTAATTAAATACAAAATTTTGATTAAGAAGATCATAAAGTTAGGTGAATAATTTTTTATCATTACAGATCTATAGTATGACCAATACCATCGAGTCATAATGATTTTTTTAAAAAATAATTCTACTTATTGTGCTCTATCCGCAAATTAGCACGGACATCTATCTAGTGTTTTCTGTAAGCTGTGGCTATTTTGTGTATGAGTGGCTATAAAAAATCTTATATTTTGGTTCTATTTTTTATACTGCTAAAAAGCTAATGACATTGAGCATAACTCATTCAAATGACAGGACAAATGAAATGAAAAACCTCATCCTCTAAATAGGCAACTCCGCTTTAGATTCTTGTTTAGAATTTTTTTTTTATATAAGAATCGAATAATTTTATTGCAACAAGGAGTCAATAAGAAAAAAGACCGTTTACTGATTCGATCAAAAATTAAACATATTATAGTAATAGTTTATTTTGAAAATTGATGAAGTTATTGTCAATTCATACAAAAATTGACTTGAAAATATCTTACTATTTATAAATATCTACAGTTTTATTTTCTTTGCTTAGGAGATGGCTAAAGCTTATTTACTTGAGCCCTTTCATCAGAAGATTAATAGAATTAAAAACACTACTAATCTCCAAGATCTACAATCCCACGAAGATTGATAATACAATGGCAATCTAGATAGCACAACACAGATTTAAGCCAGCAGATCCTCGTCTCAAGGAGAGAAATTTTCCTTTCTATGATTGAAGACTGTTTCTGACCTTCTCAATTACTAGAAAAAGGGATAAAGACGAATCTTCTTTTTGCCATATTGAATTCTTGAGAAGGAGAGCGATTAATCAGAATGGCCAATGAAGATTCGCTAATA